CCCCCCTGGTTTTATCGAGGTAAAACCTAAGCGCCCGACAGGGACAGAGCAACCTATCCCGTTCCTCAGCTCCAACGAAGGCAGTCAAAGACGGAATCTTAATCGGATCGGGCGAGAAGCCAGGAACCTGATTCTTAGCCATAAAGGCAGGATCAGTGAGAAGGGTAACGGCAGAGTAATTCCTGGACCATCGGAGGCAAGAGGGGTGAGAAGACAAGGCATGAATCTCACTCCTCCTTCGACCTGAGGCCAGGGCAACAAGGAATACCACCTTGTAAGTAACAAACTTCAAGGAGGCAGACGCTAAAGGCTCATAAGGTGCCCGCATCAGCGATTCGAGCACCAGTGGCAAATTCCACTGCGGAGCCAACTGCCGGACCCTAGGCCTGTCCAACCCAAACCCCCTAATCAAGGCAGAAAGAGAGGAGGACGAGCCTACCTCCGACCTACCATGAACAGAGAGAACACTAGCAATGGCCGTGCGATAACCAGCAATAGTGCCAGGGGCAAGATTGCGGTCCCAAAACAGCTGAAGAAGAAAGTCCGCAATCACCTGGACAGTAGCCTTGATCGGATCAACCTTCCTGCCGACACACCAATCACAGTAAATCTTCTATCGTGACTGGTAGACGGTAGATGAGGAAGACCTAATTGATCGAGCGATGTGATCTGAGACGTCCCTAGAAAAGCCTGCCTGAGCGAGGCCTCCTGTGATAGCTTCCACGCGTGAAGGTGGAGGATCTCCGGACGAGAGTGCATCGCCCTGGACTGAGGCTGGCGAAGGAGGTTCGCTCTGAGAGGAAGAGCCAGGGGCTCTTCCACCAGAAGCGACAAAAGCTCCGGAAACCAAGGCTGCCTCGGCCACAGGGGCGCTATCAGGAGGAGGGAACACTGATGCTCCCGAAACCTCTGCAGCACCCTTCCCACCAGGTTGAAGGGCGGAAATGCCTATGCATGCATTCCCTCCCAATCCAGAGACAGAGCGTCCACGGCCTAAGCCCTTGGATCTGGAACCGGAGTGACAAAAGTTGGCAACTGAATATTCAGTGAAGTGGCGAACAGGTCTATGTGAGGCCTGTCCCACACCTGACAAATTCACTCGAAAATCGAGGGATTCCATAGCCACTCAACCGGCCTGGTAGATGCTTGACACAAATTGTCAACTGCATTTCCTGACAAAGAAGGCTGGGGGCTGGGGGGTCAACAGAGCTGCTAACACGTCTCCGCGAGGGAGAGACCAAACCCCAAGGAATCCACGACGGAAAATCCCCATGGGGTTAAACCCATATCCCGGAGAATAAGGTAAAGGTCCCGCGGGCTGGGAGTGACCCCAGAACTGGCCAAACTGGCCTGCCTGAGACTGGGACATGGATGGTTGCCCGCAGGCACCCGTTTACCCTAAGCCAGGGGAAAACGGTGGCCGGAAACCCCCCAGGTTCCCGGAAGAATGAAACTCAGGTCCGGACCTAATAGGACCGGTTCTGTGTAACTGACCGGGAGGGTAAGCCTGACCAGCATTGGTGCCGGGATTAGTGAGCTGCGCGTCACTAATCCGGGTAGACACAGACAATCCCGAAAGAAAGTCTGTAGTCACAGCAGGACCTGAACCCGAAAGAACAGGCCCGGCACCAAGACTGTCCCCAACGACAGCACCACCTTGAATGCCGGGATCACTGACAGAGTCAGTGACCGGCGGCCGGTAGTCCCTACCCGAAGGCAAGCGCGAAAGCTTACGGGTGTTCCCGGCCAATTCGACCCTGGGCTGTGCCAAGCCAGGGTCGGGCTGCCCCCCCCCCCCCTACTCAAGGGAGGTCCTGGACAGGAAGGGCCACCCCCTGCTCACGAGAGGGATTCGTCGAAGCGAGACCCCCGAGACAGGAACAGAGACAGTACCACCAGACCCCAGAGGGCCGGTGGCACGACCCCTACTTCTCTGCTTCCCTCGCTTACCGGAAGAAACAGACGAATCTCTCTTACGGTAAGTTGAGGGTAGCTTTGGAACAATGAAGTTCTTGTCCTGAGATTTAGACTGTGAACAAAGTTCACAAGGCGAAACCTCACTGCAAGGACGACACCTGGAATAAGATGGTCCCGTTCCACAAAGAAATGGGAACACCCATGAGCTCTACCTCGTCGCTGTCCCGACCGAGACATACCCTCCAAAGCGATATAGTAAACAAAAATTTACAAGC